ATATATATATTGTATATACCTCGCAACATAAAGCTGCAACGTACAATAACATCATAATACAATTATGCATAGAGGTCAACAAAGCCGATAAGTTATCCATAAACATGTCAGAGTGCCAAAGTTCTGATAAGATGGTACAGTGTCTATCAGCATCATGGTCCTGATAAGGCCACAGATTCGTTGGGGTTTGGAGCCAGGCAGAGCTTCTAGTTACGTATCCTCCAGGAGGAATTTGAGATAAGTTGGCCTGTCCAAGGCCAGCAGGGAGGCCAAATTCAGATAAACAACAATTGTTAGGGCCACTAGACTCTGTTTTCTGTCTGCCTTCAAGTTCTGCTGGTACACTCAATGGTGAATCCAAACCAGATTAATGGACATTCTGCCCGGTCCTTGCTCGATTTAGCATTCTCCAAGATTGAATCCTTCATGCTGGTGAGTTCCAGTAGCCGCAAGTGGCCTATGATTGTCTGAAATTGCGTCCAGCTTGCTGTTGAGCTCAGTAAGCATTTGAGTTTGAAAACTCGAGGCACAGATTAATCCTTCAAATAAGGCTGGCAGCTTTACCACGTCTGAAACTGCTGCCGACGTCTTCCTAATTTGTCGATATTCAAAATATCCACTGATTCCAAAAAGCAGAAACCCTGTTATCATAAACCAAATAATATACTCATCTTCTATGTCTTCCATGGATAGAACAGATAGGCTTACCATCTTCCACTCATTCCAGGAATCAATGACATACCCAGCTGCAAGGCTCCAGTCAGTGCATGAGGGCTCTCCAGCACCCTGTCGTCTGGTGGACAAAATGTTATCAATTGTGTTGAGGGACCAGCTGACCAAATCCATCATAATTTCTGATTCAGAAGATGTGTAAAGAGAAGCTCTGAGGTTGACGGGACAAAAGAGCAAAAAAGCAGGAGGGAGGGTAAAAGCAACCGTCTTTGTCGAAAGTGAAAGAGAGAATCACAATGATAATTTAAATGTACAATATTGTATCTCTTCTCATTTTTCTTTAAATCAAAACTGATAAATGCATCAGTTAGTGTAGACTTCTCTTACCAGCTGGCTCACTTTGAAGCCAGAAAGACGGTTGGATCATTCTGTCATTATTGATTCCGATGTGGAAAGAGCAACAGAACGTCAAGTGAGACAGATCAAACTCTTGTTGATGAACCTGCAACCAAGGAGAGATATTGGGTATCTGGCTCGAGTTAATGTGTCAGCTTAAAGTGGCCCATGGCGCTGACAAACTTTAAAAATTTTAGCTCCTTTTGGTAACTGAGTTTGACACCCCTACAAATGTTGCATTTATTCATGTTCAACAGGAAAAGGAGACGGAGAAACAAAAGATGCTGTATCAGCAAGCCCGACTCCACGATCGAGGAGCTGCCGAGATGGTGCTGCAGATGATCAGTGCCAGCAAAGGTGGGAAAACAAACTCTGATCTGTTTGCTGCCCTGCAGCAGCTAAATTAGGTCAAACCATCATATGATGTGTCCTCTCAGGTCGTCTTGGTGCTACTGTGACTTTCACTCTCAAACTGGGTATTTCCGTCCTTAACGGGGGAAACATTCTGGTCCAGCAGGTATGCAGCAATAATTATGTTAAATAATTATTCATTGTTGCTTTGCTATTAATCATGCTTTTATTTTGATGCAGAAAATGCTGGACTATCTGAAAGAAAAAAGAGACGTTGGATTTTTCAAAAGCTTGTCTGGACTGATGATGTCGTGCAGGTAAATAAATCACTCGTGATCATTTAGGTACGCGTTAAATAGGATTTGTTTTCTGTGTCAACACTAATTGAATCCTCCGGTTGTACTTGGCACATGCAATGAAATTGTATTTTTGTCTGAGCTGATCACGTTTCAGCTAATTTGATTCAGATTTTATGTTTAATTTGTGCTCCAAATGAGAGAAAAACCAAAGTATGAAGAGCTGTTTGGCTAAAATTGAACAATTATTTTCTAAATTTGTCCCAATATTTTTCTTTTTCTTTTGTTGTAGCACCTTTCATAATCTATATGATTTATAAAATTCCAAATGTTAGCATGATTTTGAACATTTAGCCAGGAGTTTTATCAAATACAGACAAAATCAGTGCACTGTTTGTTCATTCTTTTTACAGAAACCTTTAGAGATTTTTATATTTTTATTTTTAGACTCTAATGGAAATGTCATTGGGACACTCTTTTAAATCACAGGTAGCAGAAATATAAAAATTCTGCATGTTTTCCTTTTGATTTTGTGTCTTTTTTTCTGACAGTGTCCTGGATTTGAATGCTTTTGAAAGGCAAAACAAAGCTGAAGGTCTGGGGATGGTTACTGAAGAGGGATCAAGTAAGTGAGGATGAAAACTACGGTAAAATCTGATGCACCACTAGCTGCATTTTAACACTGTGAAACGTTAACCTGTCCTCTACTTAGACATTTTTAGTCTAGCTAATAAAATAATATTAAAAAGCGTATTTGTCAGTGTACCATGTTTGCATCAGGGGTAGTAAAAAATACATTTCGAATTGTCTCTTCCTGGTTCACAACGGCCTGTAAGAAGAAAGCTAATGACATAGCACTAGCTCGACAGAATATTTGCCATTTAGTTTGTTACTGCTGGAGTCCATCTCCATGTCATTTGTTCATTGTTTCATGTTGTCACGTCATCCTGCAGGTGAGCCTGTGCTACTGTATGTCCCAATCCTGTCTGGGCCTCACAGACTCACAGACACTTAAAAAAAACACATACTCACAAACACAATTAACTAATCAAGATGGGTTGCATACAGTATAGAATTATGTTTTTCTCATACATGCCCATTTTCACTTCATAAGATCAGGCATAAGTGATGGTAACTATTACTTTGTCTAACCACGGCCTAATGAGCAGACTGTACGGCGAATTGTCACTATATGTCAATGTCACAAATCAGTGTTTGTAAATTATATATCTGCAGTCGGATCATCTTGTTTTCCTGTTCCTACTTCTTCTGACTGAATCTAAATGTCTTCTCCTTTGCTTATGTCTGCTTTTGTTTTGTTTCTTTGTTTCCTTCTGATCATGTTTTTATGTCATCGGTCGCAGTCAACGTGAGTGAGCGGGGTAAATACACGGTTTAGATTCTACTCATTTATATGCAATGCTGACATCTTGATCGCTCTCCGCCCTGCACCCTCTTTTCTCGTTTTCTCTTTTTTATTTTCCTGAATGCAATATAGCCTCTGTATTTGTACCCTGGACTGAAATAACGCATGCTTGCTCTTCTGACATTAGTCTGCGATCAGGCTTCAAAAGTTGACTGGAATCTCTTTCCTTCCTCTTTTATAAGAAGTCGTTGCTTGTTGTTTGTTTGGGACCCTTATATATTTTATTCTACTAACCAGTGTGCCTTTAGAACTAAATCCCCAACAGCTTTGTGGGTATAACCAACCAACAAAGCTCAGTATTATTCCAATATTTAGCTTTGAACCGATGCACCCGTCCATCTGTATGTGCTCTAAACAACATGATGCACATCACTTAGGACTGTTTGACAATGGGACAGCAGCTTGATAAGGAGACAAAAGCTAAGCAAGCTCTGATGCCTGTAGAAGCATAAAAAATTACAAGTTTCTGACCTTCCTGTGACTGGAAAACACCAGTATCTCATTTCCTGTTCTCAGGTTCCAAGGTTCTGCAGAATGATGAGTTTACGAAGGATCTCTTTAGGTTTCTGCAGCTTCTCTGTGAAGGCCACAATAATGGTGGGTCATAGACTTGGCTATATGTTGCTTTTTATTCATTTTCTAGAGGATTGTGTTGCGTCATTTAAGTGGAGCAAGTCAGTATGTATGCTTAATACTTTTCTACCTGCTTTTTAGATTTCCAAAATTTCCTGAGAACTCAAACAGGAAATACGACGACAGTCAACATCATCATCAGTACCGTTGATTACCTGCTAAGACTCCAGGTATCACATTAGGACAGGAAGTTTTTTTTTTTTTTTTTTTTTTTTTTTAAGAAAAAACAATTTATGTCATTAATTTGCTAATTTAATTTGCTTTTTTTTTAATTAAGGAATCCATCAGTGATTTCTACTGGTACTATTCTGGTAAGGACATCATTGATGAGGCTGGGCAGAGGAACTTTTCTAGAGCTCTAGCAGTCGCCAAGCAGGTCTTCAACTCTTTAACGGAGTACATTCAGGTACTTTATTACAACACACTGCTCCACAGTTAAAGTGACATAAGCACTGTACAAATAAAGCTGTTAGGTCTTTTTTATGAAGAGAATATTTCAGCTGTTTCTCCATTCCCTGCGCTTCAGGGTCCGTGTATAGGTAATCAGCAGAGTCTGGCTCACAGCAGACTGTGGGACGCGGTGGTGGGCTTCTTGCACGTTTTTGCCAACATGCAGATGAAGTTGTCCCAGGTATGTGTTTTACATAAGCAGTCATGCAGCAAAACTGCATTAAAACACTTTTAGATAGGGTTGTCATATTGTTTTATTTGTTAAAAGTTTTTGTACTCGTTTTATTCACATCTATAGGTTGCACTTTGTCTCAGAGTGGCTTGTAAAAACTGTGTAAAGTCACTACAGCTAACTAATCAAACTCAAAATGTAAAGTCAAGACTAATAGTGTGGTTTTGGAGACGTTGCTTATTCTTGAGATGAAAACTTGGAACACCACTGGTGCCACTAGAGGGCTCTCCAGCTTCAAGAATAACTTGTAGCTGCTGCAGGACGGTTGCGCATCAGTCTATTTAGGTAGCTATTATCTGACCATTAAAGCAATATTAGGATAAAAACATCCTGCTAACCTTATCTCATAGTCATCATGGTGGATATGTTTTGGCAGTAGAAGTCAGGATGAGAGAAAGCACAGGTGGAGGGGTTAAATTTAGCCCATCCAAGTTAGGTTCAGATTTATGGGATATTCAATACAGGATCCGTTGAGACCCTAAACGAGTCAGACTGACCCAGCCATCTGCTCTCAGACGATGAAATAACATCAAACCTGGTGATGATGGATGGATGTTATGGAAAGGGACCTTCTGTGTCCCAGCAGAATCTGAGAAAGTCTTGATCTGTTGAAATGCTGTTCAAAGAATCCACCCATGGAGGCCGTCAGTGGTTTCTGTGACACACACAAAGTTTTCCTCCTTTTCTTTCCTCCCAACAGGACTCCAGTCAGATTGAATTACTGAAGGAGCTCCTAGACCTTCAGCAGGACATGATTGTCATGATGCTCTCTCTCCTAGAAGGTGTGTATGTTGCACAAATTAAAGAGAAATGGCAGATTTGCTTCGTGTTCCTTTCTGAACGTTTCCATTGGTCCACAGGTAACGTTGTCAATGGAACTATTGGTAAACAAATGGTGGACACCTTGGTGGAGTCCTCCAGCAACGTGGAGATGATTTTAAAGTTTTTTGACATGTTCCTCAAGCTGAAGGACTTGACTACCTCGGATAGCTTCAAGGAGTATGACTCGGAGAGCAAAGGGGTCATCTCTAAGAAGGACTTTCAGAAGTCCATGGAGAACCAGAAACAGTACACCCAGTCTGAAATCGAGTTTCTTCTCTCGTGCGCTGAGGCGGATGAGAACGACATGTTCAGCTACAAACAGTTTGTCGAGAGATTTCACGAACCAGCTAAAGACATAGGCTTCAACGTAGCCGTGCTGCTAACAAACCTCTCAGAGCACATGCCCCATGATGCTCGCCTGTCCACCTTCCTCAGTCTCGCTGAAAGCGTCCTCAGCTACTTCGAGCCTTTCTTGGGTCGCATCGAGATCATGGGCGGTGCCAAGCGCATTGAGAGGGTTTACTTTGAGATCAGCGAGTCGAGCCGCACGCAGTGGGAAAAGCCTCAGGTGAAGGAGTCAAAGCGGCAGTTCATATTCGATGTGGTCAACGAAGGTGGGGAGAGCGAGAAGATGGAACTGTTTGTCAACTTCTGCGAAGACACCATCTTTGAGATGCAGCTGGCTTCTCAGATTTCAGAGCCAGACCCGGTTGAGCATCAAGACGAGGATGAGGACGAGGTCCAGAGTTTGCTGGAAAACCAGGAGGAGGAAGAGGAAGAGAGTGTGATGATGGAGTCTTCCTCTGCGTTCACCCTCGCCTGCATCTCAGTGCGAAAGAGCCTCTGTAATTTTCGACAACTGCTGACTCTTAAGAGCATGAGGCGTCAATACAAGAAGTTCAGGAAGATGAGTGTGAGGGAGTTGGTGCGAGGCTTCTTCTCCTTCTTCTGGATGATCATCACAGGCCTCTTCCACTTTGTCTACAACTTAGTTTGGGGTTTCTTCCACATCTTATGGACCACGCTGTTTGGGGGCGGCCTCGTTGAAGGAGCCAAGAACATGAAAGTGACAGATATTCTGGGAAACATGCCAGATCCCACTCAGTTTGGAATCCATGGAGATGTTCTGGAGACAGAAAAGATGGAAGCAAACGAAGCGTTGGCTTTGGAAGAGATGGGTCAGATGGCTCAGGGCGACGTAGCAGAGGCCGACCTGATGGCCGAGCTGCTCAACATACAGCCCAAGAGGGAGGGGAAGCATGGGGCTGAGCCAGGTTTGGGGGACGTTTCAGAGGTGGTGGTGGGAGATGCTCCTTCGATAGCCAGCGCAGTCAAGCAGAAAAAGGCACAGGTAAGTAATCACTTTTAGATAAAATAAAGATACATTTTGTCTTCATCGTCTAAACAGATGTTTGCTCATCTAAACGCAGAAAAAATGATGAAACAAAACTGATTTTTGCAACAGATGGCTGAAAAGAAGAGGGCTGCAAATGGAGACTACAAATCTGATTCAGAGAAAGGAGAGTGAGTGCAACATGGTTTCATAAGAGAGTTAGGCTTTAAAAATATCAGGATTGTAACCAAATCCAACAACTCCAGACTCTAGTTTGGTTGCAGATAAAAGTGTTTCTACACACCGGTCTGTTAAACGCTTTTACTCACAAATGGTCACTAACAGAAGTTATGCTTGTAGTTCGGATGATGGAGAGAAAAGGGACCACGACAAGGCCAAAGATGAAACCCCTCCAGAGACCTCAATGGAAGAGAAGAGAGCCCCGAAGAAGAGACTCAGTTTGAGGAAAGAACCACCGGAAGCCTTTATGGCCAGCTTCTTGGCTGGCCTGGAGATCTATCAAACTAAGATGCTGGTCAGATGTTTCCCTCAGAGCATTCTTCATACTCAGGCCTAACTCATACAATTTTAGATTTTTCTTTTAACCAAATTTTTCCAAGGTCATGCTATTTTATTGTAAGCATAAAATCTTGATTCAAGGATTCAATACATTATACACCTATATTATAACAGGGCTATTCAACTGGTAGTCCAGGGGCCAAATCAGGCCCATGGGTGAGCTCAATTTGGCCCACCAGTGGGTTAATTTTTAAATAAAACTTGATTTTAAATCATAAAACAAGCTTACTTAATAAGAATAACTGCTGGATGTTCGGCCCCTGAACTCGTGGCTTTCATTAAATGTGCCCCCCTGAGCAATTTTGTTGAAAAGCCCGGTTCATCCCGTCACATAATGCCAGTTCTAACGAAGGTTTTGTTAGAAATATCAGTGTTAAAAGAAAACCTTTTTTGTAAGATTATTTTGATAGTAGAGAGAAAATACCAAGCAAATCTGCATTGCCAGCATGACATTAAAATAAGATTTCATATTCAACGTGTGAATTGATAATAATAATTATCAAAAATAAGGATGTATTCTAAAAAAAAAGACCAAAACCTATTTTAAATCATAATATGGCTTCAGGACGACACCATTGTTTTATTTCAGCTTGCGTAGAAAATGACCTGATCATCTTTTTTTTTTTTTCAGAACTATTTGGCAAGAAATTTCTACAACCTCCGCTTCCTGGCGCTTTTTGTTGCTTTTGCCATCAACTTCATTCTTCTCTTCTACAAGGTACGTTTGTTTTCAAGTCATCCCAGAATAAAGCGAGGCTTTCACAGAGCTGGAAGCGTTTTAACTGGTAAAAACGGACTTCCAGGTGACCGGTGATTACTCAGAGGAGGAAGACCCCTGGAGCCGTAGAGGCAGAACTGGAGAAGAGGAGGATGAAGGAGCGCTCGAGTGTTTTGTCCTGCAAGAAAGCACCGGCTACATGGCACCAACGCTCTGCTGTTTGGCCGTTCTACACACTATCATTTCTTTCCTGTGTGTAGTGGGATACTACTACTTAAAGGTGCAGTGACAAGTTTTATATATTGATTTGTAGAAATCTGTAAACTAAGGTTGTAAAGTTGAAAATTGTTTAATTGTTGAGGCAACACAAACTGATGAAAATGCATGCAGCTTTTTCTTGATCTATTTTATTTTAATCTTTTAGAGGCACTCAGTGCAAGGCCTGAAAACCAATCATAAACATTTAAAAAAGAAATAAACAAAATCTGTACATTTTTATCATATCTAGGGTTAATGTGTCCCAAAATTTGGGAGCAAAACAGCTGCCAACTACCACATACCATGTCTGACAATTATTAAGTTTAAACTTGGGTTTATTGAGTAATTTGTGCAGGAAAAGGTGTTTACATTGAGTGCATTCCTGCATTTTAGCTGCTTTTCAACATATCTGGAAAACTACTGTAGTAAACGCTTTCAAACAGCATCATATGGAATATGTTTCCTGTGTTGTGATAAGGTGCCTCTGGTAGTATTTAAACGAGAAAAGGAGATAGCAAGGAAGTTAGAATTTGCCGGCCTCTACATCACTGAGCAGCCGTCCGATGACGACATTAAAGGACAGTGGGACAGGCTGGTCATCAATACTCCGTAAGTCAGCCAAAAGACTGGCATTGAACGTTTGATCACCAATCTTTTGCAAACAAAAACCTAATTCCTTTTTCTGTTTGTTTTATAAAGTTCTTTTCCCAACAACTACTGGGATAAATTTGTCAAACGCAAGGTAAGCGGCTTAATGTTGTTTTAGTCAAATCTATAAAGCACACAAGCTGTAAATCAAATTGGACCAAATGAAAGCCTCTGTGTTCGTCCTTTGTTTCCTGTTGCTTCTGTTTATAGGTGATAAAAAAGTATGGAGACCTGTACGGAGCGGAGAGGATAGCAGAGCTGCTGGGTTTGGACAAGAGTGCTCTGGATTTCAATCCCACAGAGGAAACCATTGCCAAGGAGGCCTCGCTCGTGTCATGGTGAGATTAGAGCGATAAGTAGTCGCAAAATGAAACTGTCTAATAGAAAAATGGGGCAAACTGAAAATTTGCAAACTTTATAACTTTTTCTCTTCCACCAGGTTGAGCTCAATCGATACAAAATACCACATCTGGAAAATGGGGGTGGTCTTCACAGACAATGTAAGTTTGATACAAGCTGGTTTCAATATCAATCTGTCTTACTATATGAGTAAATTATTGTGGAATTTAAAAGAGAACAGGCTTCTGATCAAGTTTTTTTTTTTTTACTAGTCATTCCTGTATCTTGTTTGGTACACCACCATGTCCATTCTGGGACACTACAACAACTTCTTCTTTGCTGCACATCTCCTGGACATCGCCATGGGCTTCAAGACGCTGCGCACCATCCTGTCCTCCGTCACTCACAATGGCAAACAGGTGAGGAGGAAGAGGCTGCAACTCTTCATCTGAGCAGCATGGGGCACTGCTGAGTCAGCGTGGACCTTTTATGCAATTTATTTAAAGTTTACAAAAGTCGCTAAATCAAAAAGCACAGATTTGTCATTTGAGCCAAAATAAAAACAACTATTCAAGATGCATCAACAATATATTTTCATCTCAAAAATATTTTAATATCTTCCAGATTTGTGCTACTAATGTTAATAGAATTTAAAATCTGAGCTTTTTTGCTTTAAACATCTATCTATCTATCTATCTATCTATCTATCTATCTATCTATCTATCTATCTATCTATCTATCTATCTATCTATCTATCTATCTATCTATCTATCTATCTATCTATCTATCTATCTATCTATCTATCTATCTATCTATCTATCTATCTATCTATCTATCTATCTATCTATCTATCTATC